CTGTGTTTATACCATTTTTCAAAGATCACCCTGTGTGAGGAGAACTTTGAATGACTACTTAAGGTCCTAGACTCAGTTCCTAAAGAACTGATAAAAAGAAGCAAATACCTTCTCCCCTGCAAATTGGTGAGGAGGGTCATGTGACAATGCTGGACAATTCTCAAATGAATAATGGGGTATTCTTAGTTAATAAATTTAATGTGGCTTTATCATTGATTTCAGATGCCTAGACCTGTCTTAGATATGGAGAATGTATTTGGAATCCTTTATGATGATATATTTATGATGAGTTACTGCAAACTTCATCATGTTTCTTCTCACAGATTTCAGCCTTAACTTTTTTTCTTAACTAGTGGTCTGAAAAAAAAATCTTTGAATTATGACTATACCATCATTTTAATTACCCAACCTCCATTATAAAATATAACTAGAACATTCAATAGGAAAAATGATTTTTACTAATTTAAAGTATGCATTAAATTTGCAAAGATAATGAAAACATGGAACTAAGAATGTTTGAGGGACATTGAGAAGGCATATATATATATATATATGTATGGATATATATATATATATGCACACACATATATATGTACGTATGTATACACCTACATATGTATGTGCATATATATATGTATATATAATTTTTAAAAATAATTTAGAATTACATAATAAGTAGCATTTAGCAACTCACAGCCTCTGACCTTTTGGTTTCATGACTTGTCATATCTTATACCTCAAGGGTGTAAAATAAAGAAATGCCCTAAATATGGATACTAGTACATTGTATGGTAGGGAGAAAAGCTGGAAATATTGTGGGTTTGATCGGTTGGGGGGGGGGTGGATGAACAAATTGTAGTATACAAATATCATAGAATAGTATAGTATCGTACAAAACACATGTGAGTTCAGGACAATGTAAATAATTGCCACCTGATGCCGAGTAAAGAAAATAGAGCTAGGATAATGATAAGCTGGAATATAATAATGTTAATGAGAACAGCACATGACTGTCTGAACTCAGATTAATTCCAATGTCCAAACATGGTCCCAGAGAACAAATGATGAAACATATTTCCTCCCCCCAAGACAGATAGTGAAAAAGAAGACTATAGATACATGTATAATACATGCATTCAAATACATGGTCACCCTCTCTGTTTTTCTTGATTTCTTTTTTGTAAGGGAAGGTACTAAACCCCATGCTTTTGGACTACATGTCAAGAAATAACTGCCATAAAACAAAGATATCAATTAAAACTTTTTAAAGTGAGTATAGGAAGTATATGGTCTCAATATATTCATATATATGTATCTGTATCTATCTATCTATCTATCTATAAAATGTGTGTGTACACGTACAAATATGTTTACATATATACTCCAACCATGGCTAACAAGGACTAAAAAATCCTTGTTATTACATGTCTCTTGGATGTGTACCATTCAGCCTCTTTGGATACTAGTATGAATATCAATTAATCTGCCAACACATATTAGGGACCATCCATATGTAATCTTGGAGAAACACAGATATGATGGAAATTGTGGGCTTATTTAGCCTGGAATTTATTTTTGACAATTCTCTTCACAGCATCCTTTACATCTTTATTTCTCAGACTATAGATCAAGGGATTTAACACAGGACTCACAAAAATATAGAAAACTGCCACAATTTTCCCTTGTTCTACAGATGTCTCTGAGGGAGGTCTTAGATACATGCAAAACAGAGTCCCATAAAAGATAGTGACAGCTGTCAGGTGTGAGCCACAGGTAGAGAAAGCTTTACGCCGGCCCTCAGCTGAGCGGATGCGCAGGATGGCCACGAAAATGAACACGTAAGAGATGAGAATGATTGTCAGAGAACAGGTGAGGTTTGAACCAGCAACTATAAACATGGCAGTTTCCTTGATGTAAGTGTCTGAGCAGGAGAGGACCATGAGAGGTGGGTCAGCACAGTAGAAGTGGTTAATCTCATTAGGGCCACAGAAGGATAGACGGAGCATCAGGATGGTTTGTATCAGACCATTGACAAAGCTATAGATGTAGGGTGCAGTGACCAGAGATATACAGATGTTCTTGGACATTTTGCTGCTATAGAGCAGTGGATTACAGATAGCCACGTAACGGTCATAGGCCAT